CAAACGAACAACTATAGTCATATAGTAAGACGTACGGTCGTACGGTAACGTAACGTAAACTACTACTACGACGAACGAACGAACGAACTACGTAGTGTCTCTCTCTCTCTCTCTCTCTCTCTCTCTCTCTCTCTCTCTCTCTATATATATATATATATATATATATATATATATACTAACAGCTACAGTAAACGTCCAATAGACCAGAATGAATATGGGCCAATCTAATGGTCACGTTTGAATTTTGTATTTAAATGTTAAGTTTTTTTCATAAAAATCTAAATCACTTGAAATTCAAGCATCTATTCTTAAAAAATAGGCGAATCTAATCAAAATATCAAAAAAATAATTCACAAAAATTAAATGAACAAAAATACCCATGAAAAATTTCAAGGGTATTTTGGTCTATTCAATTCTTGTCAATTAGTTTTTTAATATTTTTATTTGGCACACATTGACGATAAGAGTAGACACCCCAAAATTTATGTGATTTGGATTTGTAGAAAAAATATTAAAATTCAAATAAAAAATATAGTCGTGGTCGTCAAATCAGCCCAGATTCAATCTCGACCGTTGGACTTACACTATTCCATCAACCCATGAGCGATCTTTTCCATACACATATATATATAGGTGAGGTTTGTATAAGGTTGCCTCCTTATACCGTAGAAATATAGCATGCCTAGAAATTTACGTAGAGATGTCAGTTTGCTGTCAAAACATTATGATGGCCCGAAAATCTCTTTTCATCCTCAATTATAAAATTTAAAATTTCAAAAATTGTACAGAGCAAGCAAATCATGAGACACTTGAAAATCTTGAAAATATACGATCCAAATAGCTTGTTATAAGATGCATTATTTTTTGACATGAAATTCTTTTTTCCTTCATGTCCATTCATCTCAATGTCAAGATGATCACATGGAAGGTTCTCCAATGCCGGAACACTCTCCTATGAAGGATTTCTGAGGTGCACCTTACTTCAACGGTATAAAGTTGCAACCTTATATAATCTTTTTCCTATATATATATATGTGTGTGTGTGTGTGTGTGTGTGTGTCCATGATCCTTATTAACTGGTCAATTTTAAATTTATCAAATATATATATATATGCGTGTGTGTGTGTGTGTGTATGGAAGAGACCATGCAACGCCTATGAGCGAAAATGAATAGTATTTTCAACCATAGGCTCAGCACCGTCCGATTTTTTTGAATGGTGTGGATTAAAAAACAGCCACAGACATAGCATGTCCATTGCAAGGTTTTTTCACGAAATAAACAGGGGATTCCGCCAGGGATATAGCATGCCCGTTGCGGTTTTTAAGGCAAACCGCAACGAATCTACAAGAGCCGTTGCAAGGTGAAACTATTCAAATGCACCCATAAGTGTTTTTAAGACTTTTCCTATATATATTATATTTAAAAGTAGAATAGGAGTTAGCTTTTTCAAAGTATTAGGGAGGTGATGTTGGGGGTAAAAATTGAAACCCCAACGTGGTGACTAAGGTGTGGGGTACTACCACCACAACCCCAGCCCCTTTCCCAAAAGTGGTAAGTCAGTGCGGATTTAGGCCCCTACTCTTTAGTGAGAATGGAGTCATAGACATCATAAGGCTCGGCAATACTACCACCAAGGCCCCACGCCTCAGCAACACTGCCACCAAGGCCCCATGCCATTCTCGAAAAAAAGGGGTAAGTCAGTGGGGATTTGAGCCCCTACCCTTTGGTGAAAATGGAGTCAGAGACCTCACCATGGGACTCGACAATACTACCACCAAGGCCTCAGACCATTCTCAAAAGTGGTAAGTCAATGGGGATTTGGGCCCCTACCCTTTGGTGAGAATGCAGGCAGAGACCTCACCATGGAGCTCGACAATACTACCGCCAAGGTCTTAGGCCATTCTCAAAAGTGGTAAGTCATTGGGGATTTGAGTCCCTACCCTTTGGTGAGAACGATGTCAAAGACCTCATCATGGAACTCGACAATACTACCACCAAGGCCCCATGCCATTCTCAAAAGTGGTAAGTCAGTGGGAATTTGTGCCCCTACCCTTTGGTAAGAAAAGAGTTAGAGACCTCACCTTGGGGCTCGGCAATACTACCGCCAAAGCCCCAGGCCATTCTCGACAAAACAAATCATAGTTTCATGAGAATCCATGATTTTGGCAAATTGAATCAAGAAGCATTTATAAGTGTAACCAAATCGCCCAAGTCAAATGGGATCACCAGGAGAGGCCAATATATAGCCTTTGTTGTAAACTTCTTTAGATTGAAAAAGGCAGAACCATATTTTGTGGATCCCTCCATACCATGTAAGTCTCTTCCAAACAACTCAGACGTTATGAGAAGGACCCGGTTTCTATGCGACCAAGCCCGCATATGTAGAAATGCGGGGCTATTAATAAATCTATTTTTGAGATAGATTTTTGGACTTAATTTTTGTAATCTCTAACATGGAGATCATGAATATAAAAAAATAAATAAATTTTAAAAACTAGAAATAATAATTCTAGTAAGAAAACATTTGGACCATTAGTTTCCATTGTTTTTAGATGGAAAACCTACTTGCATCCATCTTTAAGATGTTTGCTTTACACTTTTTGGACCGCATATGTAGTCATGCGGTCCAGCCCGCATGAAACAATTTTCCTTTTGAGAAACTTGAGGGGCACTCGAAAAGGAGAAATGTAAACCATTGGGAGATTAAACAGAGTAAGATTTATATGAGTGACTCTCAAAACTCATAGTACAGCAATACCCAATATAGAATCAGGTGCCACATTCGACATTTAAGTTGAAAATATGTAATAATCAGTCAATGTCAATCAGAACCATGATATAAAATGAAATTGGTGAAAACCATATTGAAAATGTCAAGAATCAACTAAGCCCATACCATAAATAAATATCAAAGCAAAAACTTTTACATCAATGGGGCATCTAGATCCTCATAACAAAAATTCTTTCTAGCCATTGTGTAAAGCACGCAGAAGCATTGTATCGGACCCATATTCCGTCTCAATCAAATTCAGCCAAGAAAAAAAATTCGATCTTCATCGAATATGGACAAAAATCCAGAAACTCATTAATTTAAAAAACTAGAACAAATAATAAATTTTAAAAAAATGTTCAGAATAAAAAATTCATTAGAATACCATGTAAAATCGATTCAAATCCATAATCAATTCATAAACTTTGTACTATGGGAATTCAAGAAAACAAATAAAAATTTCACAAAACAATTAAATTCTGACATATTGGAGAAAAAGGGAATACCTCAGCAACATTCATAGAGAGAAGTGGAGATATTATTTGAACAATTTAGAACCCGCAATCTGAAATTCAATTTAGGTTTTCCTCCAATTCACAATCCAGATAACAGCCCGTATGTACCGACAAACTCACAAAGCAAAGTTACTATTCTCTACCAATACAGAATAGAACTCGATGCAAATCACCATAAGAGAGACCAAAAACATGCAAAATGGCAAAATTTAAGAGAGACAAAGTAGAAAAGAAATGCAGCACAGTTACCTGAAAAGAGTAGCAAGCTTGTTCAATATCGGATTGGAGGTGACGGAAGTTCAGGATTCCAGGGAAAGCTCTACTTCTTTTCCTATCTTCCACCCATGGTTTTACAGTACTGAGGGAGGGAGGGAGGGAGGGAGGGGAAAATTACAGTCCAGGGGGGAAAGCTCAACTTCCTTTTAGCCTTTTATTTTTATTTTTAATTTAAAAATTTTATTATCACGAATTTCGATGTGACCTTTATTATTATAAGATGAATTAAATAGAAATTAAAAAAAATATTTTTAAGTAGAAAATATTGATCAAAACGTATTTAAGGTTATTTTTTATTTTAAAAATGTTTAAGTATATTGATCCAGTTCTCTTTATAAAAATGAATTTCTATGAAAAACTTCGGATAAATATAATATTTCAATAAAATAAAAATAAAATAGACAATTAAATTTTGGCTATTAGTTAATGCCCATGTGAGGCGTTGGAGATATGCATGCTTATGCATCCTTCCATGTGTCCAAATGATAATGACCGTTCACTTTGTAGCCGTACACGTGGTCAGGATACGAGTAGGAGATAGAGGAAGGTCACACTTATGAGTGTATGTGTTGTGTTCATGAGCGTGTGCATGTGCATGTGCATGTCTTTTGCATGATTTGGGCCAGCCCAATTCATATGCAACGCGAACCAATTCATTATACGACTGTTCTTATCTATATTCCCATAATATTATTTTTATGGTGATCTTTTGGAGTACCACATACGTAGGTGTAGGAGGGCCTCATAAAATCATTACTTTTCTCAATAAATGATTCCAATGATTTAAAAATTGTTGAGTCGAATTGGACTCGTTCGGTTCAACTTGGGAACCGACACGAGTTCGACTCGTCCGGTTCGACTCGAGAATCGGCACAAGCCGTGTCGGTTCCAGCACAAAATCGGGAACCGTCCAGTTCTAGAGCAAAACTATCGGTTCCCTCCCGTTTCTAGCCTTCACACGTGTGTACGCGTCACGTGCCACATACACCACTCACACACGTGTGACGCGAGCCGTACACACTCCCACACATGCCACCACTCACACACGTGTGTACGTGTGACACGAGCCATACACACTCCCACACGTGCCACCACTCACACACGTGTGTAAATGTGACACGAGCCGTATACACTCCCACACGTGCCACACGCATGATACGTGTGCTAACTATACACACTCTCACACATGCCACACGCACGGACACGTGTGTACGTACATGTGCGCACATGCACGTGTGAGGTTACCCCAACGTTTTCACGCGTATACTTTAATTCATATTACATAGCTTGAACACCCATATTTCGATGTGGGATAATTCTCAAACATCATTAAATAAGAAGGAAATGTAAATATATTCTATTAATCAGCATATTATAACTAGATGTGGTGAGGTGGCATGGTGGTTATGTCTCTTGTTTCTTTACTTTAGTTTGCATTTTTGTGATGTATAGTAGTTTTTGTTGTGTATATTGTATAAATATTTTTGTAAATAATATAAAAGGCATAAAAATTTGAAAAATAAAAAAGTTAATTTTTTGTATCCCTCCATGGACGTTGCATTTGCATTTTTTTGTTGTATAGTAGTTTGCATTTTTTGTGACGTATAGTAGTTTTTGTTGCGTATATTGTATAAATATTTTTGTAAATAATATAAAAGGCATAAAAAAATGAAAAAGAAAAAAGTTAATTTTTTGTATAGCAGTTAATTTTTGTTGTATATATAATGGTATAATTATTTTTGTAAATAATATGAACGACATAAAAAAATAAAAAATAAAAAGTTTATTCTATTTGAAATCTCCATCTTTCTACTAACAATCTCTTTCACTAAATTTATTATAGAAACCTAAAAAAATATATTTTTGAAAAATTGAAATGTTATTTTCAAAATTTGTACGCATTTTATTAATTTTTACATTCATAACCAAATCTTTTATTTTATTTATTAATTTTTACATTATAAATCATGTAATGTACTATTTTTCTTACAGTTGTCAATAATACATTTTAAATTAGATAATATTATAAAATATTTTTAATTTGTTATTATTTATCTAATAAAATAATTATAAAACGTAAACTAATAATTATAATTTCAGTATATAATATTATAATTAGTTAGGTTATAATAATTTTGGATTATAGTTAGTTAGGTTGTAATAATTTGGGTTTTTTTAGCGGATTAGGGTTTTTCGTCAAAACGAGATTTTAATAGCCATTCTTTCGTTGATTTAGTCTATTCTTTATTATAGTCCATGTATAATTATATATTTTATCCATTATAATGCTATGGTTTTTTTTTTATGTGATGCAAATTTATTACTTAAGTTTATACAGGGAAAGAGCATCTCAATATTCACAAATTGATGAAAAAACTGAAAGTTAATAATGTAGTACCCGTATTTCTTATTGGATTCCTAAAAAACTATATTTATAATGAATTTTAATAAATTTTTCGGATTTTTTTGAAGCTTTAATCAGACCGATTCCCGATCCGGATATCCTATTCGCAGATCTGAATCGGTTTTTGAGATGCCCGATCAGGGTCATCGATCCGCTTTTTAAATCATTGAATGATTCTATAGGACCCTCCCCCACCCATATGTAAGACTTCAAAGGATCATCATTAAATTTGGCACGGATCTATAGAAAAGTCAAATCCCACATACATATGATAACTTTTTTAGAGATCCTTGCTAATTTTAATATTGATCTTTTGGGGTCCTACACATATGAGTGGATGAGGGTCTTATAAAATCATTGCTAAATTATATATTATGATAATGATAAATAACCGTATAGGACCCTCCCCTATCCAGGTGTGTAGGATCCCAAAAAATCACCATTAAATTTGACACAGATCTATAGAAAAGTCAAACCCCACATCCATATGATAATTTTTCTAGAGATCCATGTCAATTTTAATAGTAATCTTTTGGGGTTCTACACACATAAACGAAAAAATATCTTATAGAATCATATTACTATATGATAAGAACGAGAAAAGTCCTATAAGATTATTACTCTATTATAAAATTTAAAAGTGTGCCATAATTGGATTGTTTAAGGTTGCAACATTATAGAAACCACACTTTTTGCTTTTATGGGTTCCCCTCTCACAAATAAACTCCATCCAATTTTCTCTCTCTTAATCTTATTTTTCTCACTAAATCTTTTCTCTCCTCTCTCTTTACTACAACATTGAGCTCTCTTTTACCAAAACTCTTTAACTTAATCCAAAGGACTACTTTAACGTCTGTGAGTCTCACCAAAAGGCATTATCCTAGGAGCAATTAATCAATCAATCTTCATCGATTTCTATGTCTCATAAAGACAAATTTAGGCGCATACTTATCCATATTTTCTCTCTCCTCTTCCTCTCTTGACTTTTGAAATAAATGCTTAAAACCTCCCTCTCTAAACTCTAATACACAAACCAAACTCACGTGCCATCTGTCTCTCTATTTCTCTCTCTCTCTACCCTGCTTACACATGCTTACACAGTACAAAATACTCTCTCTCTATACCGCGTTTACACACTACAAAAAAATACTCTCCCTCTACCCTGCTTACACCGTACAAAAATACACTGTCTCTACCCTACTTAGTACTACAAAAATACTCTCTCTCTACCCTGCTTACACACTACAAAGGCACACTTAGTCCCCCTCTCTCTCACACACCAAAAAAATTGCACTTAATCATAAACCTAAAAAACTACTCTCTCCTCACTCTCAAAATTTTGATGGTTGTCTCTCTCTCATCGCCCTCCTACCCTCTCTCTAAAAGATATATACTCCCCCCTTCGTCCAGCCATCCAATTTAGATCAAGTGAACTAATAAGTATTTAATCTAGATTTGATGCTTTAGGGTATTTTATTTTTAATTTTTTTATACCAACTATATAAATATGAAATTTTGTACATGACATCACTTAAATAAAATATTAAAAATAATATTTTTGATAAAATACAATGATAAAAAATACACCTCGAACTTTTAAGGGTATTTTAGTCATTTTATTTTATTATGAATATTTTTTTAAGTATGGCCCAAATTTTGGTGTAAAAATGTTTTGTATACAAAAAATTAAAAATAAAATAGTATAGATGGTGATATTGTGATTGGGGTCATCTAAGTCGTCCATTTAGAAAGGACGGTTTGATAGGGACAATATAAAAGTTTATATTGTAGGGGAAGCATAAAAAGCTTGCATTAATATAACTAGGGTCATTAACAGGCTGGGGTCAGGCAAGTCTAGCCCTAACTTGAGCCCCAACTTAAAACTGTGCAAAGTAGGCCCTTGCCCGGCCCCAAAATATTTGGGCTTTCTAGGACCTGTTTTGCCACGCTAATCCTAAATACATAGACAAAATTTCTATGAGTCCATGTAGAAATGAGTCCCTTCTTAAAAATCTATTTTTGAGATGGATTTTTAGACCTAATTTTAAAGGATATATAATCTCTAATATTATGGCAATCATGAATATGAGAAAGTAAATAAATTTTAAAATTAAAACTAATACTTTTACGAAGAAAATATTTCGACCTTTAAATTCAATTGTTTTTATATTGAGTATTCATTTGCATCCATCTTTAAAGTGGATGCTTTCCACCTCAGGGATGCAAATATACAAATGTGTCCCCCGTCGCATGGAATAGTTTTCCTAAACACAATAGGTTGGCAAGGAGGCATAAACATCAAACTTCCAAAAAGTACTTTCCCAATTTTTTAGGAAAGCTTAATTATGGTGTAAGAATCATTGTTCGCAAAACCGGTTGGTTTGAATCGGAGCCGATTGGTTTGAAACAAAATCAACCGGTTAGCTCGAAACTGCTTTGATTCCGAATCCGGTTACACCCGGTTTAGTAGTACCAGTAGTCTAACTGTCACCACCGGTGCAAAACCGGTCGATTAGACCTCGAAGTGGTATTTTTATTAAAAACCGGACGGTTTCTGCTAATCAGGCCGGTTTAACGCTAAAACGGGCGTTTTTTCGAAAATAACAAACATTTTAAAAAAGCTGGCGTGCAGGAACCTGTGAATCTACCTTTTACAGGTTTTTAGATTCAGTTTTTTGCCTCTCTTTTTTTTTTGAAGTTTTTGATTCTTTATTGTTGTATAACACCATAAAATATCTATAAAACATTGAATCTAGAATGAAAATCGCAAAAGAATGAGATTTTGCGAATTGAAGTGGCGGATTTTCAAAGTTTTGAAATTTACATAATTTTCTCGATAGCAGCTTCAACACCACATGGATCTTTATGAAAATGGAGGGCTTTTGATTCATTGTTGAAGCATTACTCATTTCCCTATTTCAATTTGTCCAAAAAATTGAAGATGGAAGATTGATTTCAGCCCGAAATGCTGCTGCTTGAAGAACTGCGTTCGATCCAAAAAAATGATTTCTGATCGATCTATTGCTCTTTTTTTATCAAATTGAATTGTGTATTTTGATCATCAAGGCTTCATCTGTCAAATTTAAAATTTTTATATAGACTCTTTTGCTACGTTTTTGTTATGGAAATTTCATGAACTAAAATTTGCGCCATTTTTTGAAGAACATTCTCAATATTGAATGGATCTTCATGAAATTGTGGGCATTTGAGTCGTTATCAAAGTATTTATCATATCCCTATTTTAATTTGTTCAAAAAAGGGAAGATTGGGGGTTGATTTTGACTCGAAAATTTCGTTATTCTTGATGATTTTGGCTCGATTTTGCGGTTTCTTAATAAAATTTTGTTTTTCAATAAAATTACGTCTTTTTTTTATATAAAAATATGTTTTTTGTGATGAATATGAGAATATATATATATATATATATATATATTCTTTCTTTTTAATGTTATATATTTTTCTAACAAAAAATAAATAAGTGTATGATATAGTGCATGATAATGTTGCTCGATTTTTTTCGATCTTTTTAGTTATTTTTATTAAGTGCATGATGTAGTTATATTTGTAATAATGGAGGAAAATAGTGCATCTTTTATCATATGAATTGAATTTCTTTTTATTTTGGGTTAATTCTAGCGTTCTTGATTATTTTGGCTTGAATATAGGTTTTCTTAATAAAATTTTGTTTTTCAATAAAATTATGTTTTTTGTGATGAATAGGATTAAAAATATATAGCGAAACACAGAAGTGCCATGATCCCCCTCTGTAAATGTTCTTAACTGGCAAGGGGGCACAACTGCTGTATTACAGACTTCACCAGACCTTTCGCCTTGTAAACCCTGATAGCGAAACACAACAGTACCATGATCCCTCTCGCCACTCTCATTGCTACTAGCCATTGTTAATTGGACTTTGTAATTTCATCAATTGAATTAATGTCAAATTATAAATTGTCTTGCATATATTTGCAGTATTCAAATATTAATTTTCAGAAAATGTTGTTTAATTGTTTTTTTTGTAAGATAAATGTATGTAATATACACTTAATCTAAGTTTTTCTATTTTTATTTTTTTATTTTTTTGAGATTCTTGACCCATTTTTTTAAAAAAAATCTTCTTGACCTGTTAGTCTTGTTAACCGCCCCGGTTAGTCCGGTTCCAATTCTAATCGTTTCCAGCCCCATGTTTGGTAACCGTTCCGGTTCGATTTTGCAAACACCGATAGAAATCAACTTAAAAAAAATTGGCTTACGCTCGGGACTGAGCCATGTAGAAATCAACTTTAAAAAAATTGGCTTACTATCGGGACTGGGCCATGCACAAGCCAGTTACTTGAGTAAGTCCTGTTGGACTTGTTCGAATCCTGCACTAGCCCAAAAATACTCAATTAAGTGTTAGCAAAATATACGAAAGGATGGCAACAATAATTAAAAATCAATAAAACTAATTGATTGGTTATGCGCATTATATAGGATGGTAAACAATATATCAAAAAATGGAATATGGAAAAACTTAGATATAAAGTATGACACAATTAAAAAAATAAAAAAAACAAAAACAAAAAAAAAATAGAGCACATGAGAGAAATTCACAAATTATCATTAAAAAATTACGTGAAGTTACATTTGTACATAATTTCTTGATAAGGTTGAGCCTTAAACAATTCATTTAAGGTGCACCTCCAAACTTTATCCTAAGCTATAATTTTAGCAATGAAAATTTTCAGGACGGTGTAAAAATCTATTTTTATCTCTGGAAATGAAGCCTTAAAATCCAAAATTGAGTCAAAACAAATCTATAAACACATAAAAATCTTGACTATGGATAATCCAGATAATGAGTTGTAAGATGTATTATTTTTAAGATTTGAAATTTTTTTCATCTCGATGTCGAGATGATGAATTAAATGTTTTTTCGCCATTAAAACAATTGTTTTTCTGGGAATTTTAGAGTTGCGTCTTAATTTTATGTTAAACCTTATACATATAACTTTCATGATTCCTTCTTTCTCTTTTTTTCTTTTTTGAATGTTAACTTTTATGATTCTTTTCATATGCGATTTTGTACATAGAACTCACCTCGGCGGTTGTCGAGATTGAGTCCGTAAATCAAAGTATAATCGGTTCTGCCAGGCCTTAAATCACTCGTAGGAATGGCCCATGCAAATATTTTTCCTTGTCGTTGAAAAGAATATCCAACCCTTTCTATCGAAATTTACTAATAAAACAATAAACATGGACCCGGTTTCTATGCGGCCAAGCCCGCATATGAAATGCGAGCCTATTAATAAATCTATTTTTTACATAGATTTTTTGACTTAATTTTTAAGGACATATAATCTCTAATATGGAGATCATGAATTTAAAAACTAGAAATAATAATTCTAGTAAGAAAACATTTGGAGTGTTAGTTTCCATTGTTTTTAGATAAAACACCTACTTGAATCCATCTCTAAGATGAATGCTTTATACTGTTTGAATCGCATGCAAGGAGAAAATAAAACCAGAAAAAATAACAATAAAAAAAAAATTTGAGAAAATATAACCCTTTTCAAAGTCTACGAGGGAATCCACCCAAAATAATCTCTTCACGTGACCAAATTTTATTAACTCATTCACCTCTTCTATAATGAAGGGAAATATCCTTTAAATAAACTAAAAAAAATTAAGAAAAAAAAAAAACAATAGACTTTCATAATTTTATCTCTCCCCCTATTTTTCTCACTCTTAACCTAATCACATTTTATCCAAAGCTTTCCCCTTCAATAGATGACCCTACCCTCTTCAATAGATAGCTATGTTGCCAAAAGATAAACCGCCTAAATTTAACTTTATTTTATTTATACTCCTAAACTAACCACCCAATTGATAAACATCAATTCATTCGCGTACAAAATAAACTCCCACCTAATTATCCATGCACACCTCCTATTCTTAAGTTTAAAATAAACTTAAAAAAAAACTAATAATAATAATATATATATATATATATATATATATATATATTCTACATCAATATGTAGTCATGCGGTCCAACCCCGTGAAATAATTTTCCATAAAACAATAATAAAGTTTATCAAACTGTATTTTCATTTCTGTAATATGTGCGATAAGGAATATCACAATCTCTCTTATTAGGTTTGGTGATAGCCAAATCACCATACCCATATTTTTCTCTAAAAGATTAAAGATATTATTGTAAAACAAAATAGACTTTCTTGAGAAACAAAAAAGTGATATCTATATAAGAGTTCAAATAAGACATAATACCAATCTTATTTAAGGTCACCCCTTCAGGGGTTATAGAAATGGATCTCCAAAGATGGAGAATGGTCTCCAAGAGAGAGAGACATGGCCTCCGACAGAAAAAATCTCTCGATTGCTTTCGAAGTTATCTTTTCGAAAGTAGTATTGAGGTGAGAAAGAAAGTATTGATCAACAGTGTTACTCGATCGAAAAAGCAAGTTTATAAAGGAAGATTGGTGATGACTTTTTACCAGTATTTAGATAGATGTATATATCTTGTACCCTAAAACTGTAATCTTCTTTGTAATAGTAGATTTAGTTGCCCAAACCATAGATGAAACCCTACAAGGTGAACCAAGTAAATCATGTGTTGTGGTGTACTTTTTTATTTTTAGTTTATTTCTCGCATTCAATTTATAGTTGTATTCATTTACTTCACATTTAGCCAATCATGTACATAATCTTGGGTAAAATCCCGATATTTGAGATTCCCGATTCCACACCCAAGAACTTCCGGTTTCTAGGGATCATTTATCTTTCAAAAATGAAACAGGCCCAAGTCTGCAATGAGTTGCCTTAAGTTTTAGTAGAGAGGAGGTAGGGGAGGACCTAGGGGCCCGCTAGAAGGACCAGCTCTGATCATCGCCTTCCTTGATTTCGCGTATGGCTTCGCCTCGAGAAAGAACGCTGCTGCTCCTCAATCTTAATGCATGGAACTGATTAATGAAAGGGGTTGGGGAAGCGAAGAAAGGGATAGGTTATTCTATCAGTTAGTGGGCATTTCTGCGGATGGCAAGGGCAAAAGGACAGGCCCGCCCCATGGAAAGTCTTGTTAGGCAGGCAATTTCCTCTCTGGTTCCATATGGGCGTCAAATATGAACCGGTCTTACAGGATGTGCGTGCTCACCTGCACTGACCCTATGAAAGAAGAGCAAGCCAACAACTCTCTCTCTCTAAATAACACACACACATGACGTCTCCGATCTTAACAGCACAAGCAGTGGATTTCCAAATGTCCGCATACAATAGTTGCTTAAACACTCAGAGTCTTCAATTTAGTACAGAGGGGTTGGAAACGACTGGTAAGGTGTTGACAATTGCACCACTGAGTCTTTGAGTTTGATTCCTACAGCTGAACTACCCAAGGTGAAAATACTCAATTGAGTAGCAACATGGTGCTGGGCAATGTCTGTAACATCTTGCACTTGAGCTTGCAGTGCCTCTGTTACCTGCATATCACATAGCCATGGAGTCAAACCACCCTGCAAACTTCTTCATCCAAACAATACGTACAGATAAGGGAGAAAGGAGAGCTGGTTACAAGTACAGTCTCCCCATCTGAATCAGCTAGAACAAGGCCAGGTGCCAATAAAAGGTAGTAAAGTTCTTTTGAAGTGCAAATAGGATCAGCTCAGCCACTTCCCTACAAAAAAAAGATGTCCATCACAAAGAATAACCAAAAACTGTAATACAGGAAAGATGCAGTCACTTTCTATTCCATGGAACATGTTATTAAACCAAACTGCAAAAGACAGCATTACATGGGTAATAAAGTATCTAATCAGATCCACCTGAGAAAATTAGAGATTAACTGTTCCATTAAGAATACAACCAAGCATGTCATATTTCATTTGCAGCACAAAAATCGATGCAACATTTGTGCAACTGTACTTAATCAGATTGTGCTTCTCCTCGTCTGAAAGAAACACCCATTCCCTTACTCCTGCATCTTGAATTGTTGCAGCAGCTTCAAACCTTGTAGTTGCTAGAAGAGAATTCTCAATTCAACATTGGTGACCACAATTAATTCCCCATAACATCATAGGACTAACCACAAGTAATGTCTGCTGTCTAACTTCTATGAAAACGAGGATGGATGCGCTATAAGAAACATATGGCCATCTAATTAACTTTTACAGTGACAAGAGTGTATACCTAAGGGTTAACTCACAGAATGAACATGATAAGGTTTCCTTCCAACTCCATAATAGTATTGAAGCAAATCAACCTTAATAGTATTGAAGCAAATCAACCTTCCTTCTCCTCTGTAACCCATGACTCCATCAGGATGGGGTCGAGACAAGCCAAAAGGATGGAAAGCATAAACCATGGGCCTCATAAGCTAGGAAAATGACATGATGTAAGATGTTGAAAAAGGGTGGGTTAAAGATGCTAAAGATCAAGCAACTAAACAATTGACGACCGAAGCAGCAGAAGCGAAGAGGAATGTGAAAACAACAGTGAGAAAATGTATATAACCCAAACTCTAAAATTGATAGATTTGATCATAGAGGTAATGGTTTGACACTTTATTTGCAATGATGATCGATACCAATACTAGCATCATGTAGATACTGTACGTAACCAAAAGTTCATGCTGCATAATTAGTTACTTATCCAGCACTCCAGAGGTATCAAACAAAGAGCACTCCAAACATCTCACTTGTTTCAAAGATGCCTGAATAATTCATTAAATATTTGCATTATAAGCGAATCGAATAAGTGTTGTGGCCATTTAGATAATCAAGAAACTAGCCGGAAGCTTGTCAAGAATAGAACAATAGGGTCGAAAGAGTAATGATTTTAGAACAATAAAACTAATCAAAATTTTAGAAAGTCACAAAAATAAACTCAACCAAGCTGATTTTTATTGCCCATTTCTTATGAGTAGGTTTGCAAAGAAAATCGATAACTACTCGTTTCTCTAGTTTCCTTTACCGCTAAGCAGAATGCAAATATGGGAGGCACAACCACAAATGCATTATGCATAGGAAAGCCAGTCTTGGTAACCACAAAACTCCTTCAGCCAATAACACACCAACTTGTAGTGTGGTCTCTCTCTCATGAGTAGGTTTGCAGAGAAAATAGATGAACTTCTCTATTCTCTAGTTTCCTTTCATTGCTAAGCAGAACGCAAATGTGGGAGGCACAACTACAGATAAATTATTCATAGGAAAGCCAGTCCGGGTGATCACAAAATTCCTTCAGGCAAGAACAAACCAAATTGCAATGCTCTCTCTCTCTCTCTCTCT